ATCTTTAGATATCTAACATGTACCTTTCCAGACTTGTGCATGCAGAGAGGAATGTTTTTAAATATACATACATTTTAATCAAGTAATATCTGCAGTTGACTATTTGAAGCTACTAAATCACTTCCTGGTACACTGCTGTTCTGCCAGCCCCTGCAGAAATATCTTAAAGTCAGTCTTGCATTACACCCACAAAGCCAAGGTCTGGTCCTTTTCAGAATTCGTTCCAGAGTCAAGGTTCTTAATCTGGAAACAATTTTGTGCTAGAGAATAGCCAGATACTCACGCGAGAAATTCATCACTGGATAGAGCTCTCCTTTTACTTGATGACTTACTGAGTAATGGAAATATGGAAATTAACTTAGAAGAATACACTGCATGTTAAGTTAGCAGAATGGATGCTGCCTGCAGGCTACTGCAGTCATTCTTGCTGACATTATCCTGTTTCTATCAGGCTGGCTATATAGCTCCTAGTATTTTGTGGTAGAGTTTGCCTTACAAGAGTTCATGCGGAAAGGAAGCTGGAGAACAGTAAGCCATGGTGTCAACAGACATCACCTCAAGCTGTGTCTGCTGCTCTGCTGGGGTTTTTTGTGTTTATGTCAGTGCACATAGTAAAAACTCTTGTGCTTACTAGACTGAAGCAGCTGCAGCAGGAACTTAGGAGTTCCCTCTAATGTTCAATGAGTACGATTCCTCCCTCCGCCCGCAAATTACTGCACATCATTTGAGTGTGTCTTCATAGCCTGGTTTTCAGGCTGTAGGTGATGTCTGCACTGCAGCTAAGGTGCAAGTGCAGCATGCTAAGGCCTACCAGGCTAGCTTTAATCTAATTAGCTTAGATAACAATATTAGTGGAGATGGGATACAATGAGCTTCAGTAAATAAATATATGCTGATGTGAAAGCCTGCTAGCAATCATCAGGGCATCCCTGGGTGGCCAGCAACAACAATGTGCAGATTTTAAAAACTTCCCAAGGGCTATTGAATCAACAGCTTGGCAATCGTTTCAAAGCCCCAAATCATCCCACAGATAGTCTACAGTTTTCCTTTAAAACAATTTTAGAACATTATATAAATTAACTGCTTGTCAAGATCAAATTTCAGCTGAAAAAAAAAAAAAAAATTCTTCCTGTGGTTTCTCAGTTTTTAAAGATTTGCTTGCACGGCTATCTTGAGTACAGCCAAGCCTTCTGTGTTAGCTGGCTCCAATATAACATTCATGTCTGTCAGAGCAGGCTTCCTCTTACAGACTGGTAGTCTGTATCACTGTTGGTGTTCTTGAACGGTAGAAGAGTAACACACGTAGATGAAATTGGCTCTGGATCCTGGGTTACTTCGTGTTCTTTTGTGAATAGGAGTAAGCACACTGGCTTAATGAGAAAAGTAAGAAAATTAATTCAGAAGTAGAAAAGGTTATTGAATGACAAGAGCTGGTTACTTAATGAAAGGATATAGACTTTAAAGCTTTAAAATCAAAAGATAGTTATGAGAGGAAGTAGTAAGTTAGACAAACAGTGTAGGGAAAAGTTTGATCATTATTTTCAAAATAATATCGGGGGGGGGGGAAGAGAGAGGAGATGGTTGAAAAAACACGAACTTGCTCAGTGTACAAGGTTCATCCAGTATTGATTTCTTGTATTGTTCTGTGAATGAGCATTACTGGACAAGAGCATTGCCCCTTTCTTTTGCTTTTGTATGGCTGAAAGACAGCGAAAGGTCTGGAAAATCTGCTCTGCCTACTTGCTCAGGCAGTAGTATACGAAGTACCAGTGAATGCTAGTATTAGGGCTGCACAGAGAATAGTGCCCACAGGCTCCTACTCCACAAGTCAGGCTTTATAGGGAGTAACAGACAGTCATTGGAAAGGATTAGAGAATACTGGGGGGAAACCACCCTTACGAGGGGATCCTTCAGATAATATTATATTCTTCATGCTCCTGCTTGAGCTCACAGAGATGCAGTCATGTTTGTTGGGCTTGGAGATGAACTCCTGGATGTTGTAATTTGTCCAGTCCCTTCATTTACAGTGCGAGAGAAATGCGTTGTATTTAAACATAGGACAGGAATTAAGTTTCGTTCAGAAACAGATTTTCTGTATAACCTTGAACACTTAATTTCTCCCTGCTTGTTTTCTCATCTGTGTAGCAGGGATAATAATGTTTATCAACCATACAGGGGGCTGTGAGGCCAAATTAATTGTTATAAAGCACTTTGATTCTCTTAGTTAAAAGGTTTTGTAGGAGTTTGAAGCATAACTATTTATTTGCATTTTCTTCACTTCTTGTTTATGCCTTATCAATTCTGCTCCAGCTTTTTCTTCAAAATTATTTGTCCTAAACATCTCATCTGGGTGAAAAAGGAGAAATTGATAAAAACTAGCAATTGCATAGAACTAATGTTTGGAAAGACTGGTCTAGATTTCTTAATTTAAAATTTTCTACTTCACAACTAACATGTATATGGATCTTCTTGAGCAAAGTTTCTTCTCTTTGGTGACATTCCACTGTTGGTTTGTTGTTATTTTTTATATACTGTTGAAGGTATCCATGAGCTCACACAAATTGACAAGAGCATGTACTCCTGCTCTTACAATTTAACTTCCATTTCTTTGATATTTTCTGTTTGTTCTGTTTTAATCCCATTCCTCTCTTGCTGAGACAGAGCAGGCATTGTGCTGTGTTGGATATAAGTACAGTGCACCTCAGGTACACTGAAACCATTGACTTCACCGTATGTAATTTCTAGAATGTATTTCTTTCTCTTAGGTATGAGACAGGGCAGGAATTTGGGTGATTTTGCCACGTTACTGAAGCACTGGGTAGCTACGTGCTTCCAGAATATCTGATGCCACTGTTGTAGTGTTCTGCTGAACACTACAGCCTGCTGAACTATTTTCACACTTCTGAAAGTGTGAGATATGGAGTAGATTATCTATCACCCAAATACTGGCTTTAGATAAGGATGTGATTTAAATGCATGTATCGAATCTGTAAAAAAGTGGCAGCACTGCAAAAAATAAAATTATAGGTTGCATTGTAGGTAAATTCTATGTAACTACTTCAGATGATTTTGAAGTGCAGTTTCCTATGAGTGATTCTGTATTCCTATTTTTCTGCTCCTTACTATCTCTTAGATAAATTGGGATTAACTTTCTTATGCCTCATTGCTTACCCTAGTAATTTCCTGAATTTCAAAAATGTCACTGAACATGTCTTTGTTAAAAATAATAAGCTATTAAGCTAGCTTATTCAACACGCTCAAGTCAAAAGATATGTACAATCATTATACTGCAGTGAATGAGTGGATTTTGTAAGGAGGCAGCTTGTTCACTGGAATTTATTGAGCTCTACAGAATAAGCTAAGTTTGAAGAAAAAAATATATACTTACTGACTTTGAAGTTATAAAATTGGAAGGGCTTTTTGATGAATATGGAGGGCGATTTTCTCTTCTCTGTTACAGCTTAGACCATTAGGACAAAATTGACTATAAATGTTGACGTGAAATTTTCTGAGGCCTGGCCTCTAATTCTGCTTCAGGATGAGGTGGGGAAGTGAGGTTAAAAAATTCTAACACTAAATCTGGGTTTGATTTAAATGCTGATTTATTTAATCTTACTCTGTTTCTGTAAAAATCCTGCCTTGAAATGACTCTGAAATTTCTCAATGTTTATAGCACATTATAGAAAACCAGTTGCCAGATTCTGGTCAGAATGCCTCCCACACATTATTAGGTTCCTCTCAGTCCTGATGGACAACATAATAGTAGTGATTGAGAAGTGTCTGTATCCCTGCATACCATTTTCCACACCAGAGGTGTGGCTTGGAAAGAAAATAATTTTATCTACTGACAGAAGAGCATTGGTTAAAACAGGAAATTAGTCAGGATGTTCAGAGAACCAGCTGAGCTTCCAGGTGTGGTGGAACATCTTCCCGTTTGTCACTGAGCAGCATTCACTTCAGCTGTAGCCCCACATGCACCAGGGCCAGTGCTCTCCACCTCAGAGAGTGAAGCAGTGGAAGTGCTGTGCTCCATGCATAATTCTGTGGTTTGCTTATGTAAATGGAAAATGTGATGACGGCTTACTTTGCTGAATTTGGACCTAGCTATGCAGAAAGCCAGCTTCAGTGAGACATCCCCTGGGACCTGAATATAGCTTAATGATCATACATTGGAATGACTGCTGCTTCCGAGTAGTTCATTGGCATTTAGTCGGTTAAAGGGGTGTGAAACTACGTGCTTTCAGTCTTAGAATACAAGTTTATACAGAAAGATTAACACTTGGGGTAACACTTACTGAATATTTGTGTGACCTTGCTGAAGTCTTAGAGGCCCTCGGATTTTAACGCATTCGCAAGACTGGATATTGAATGAGTGAAGAAAAGCATGGTACATGCAAAGGGATATTTAATCCTCCTGATTTCTCCAGACTGATCCTTTCAGCAGAAAAAAAAAAAAAACACCACATTTTGTGAAGTGGTCTCTCCCTTTTCCCTTTGCCTAACTGAACTTTCTTTTGACATCCAGGACTTAGGAAAATATTTCTGTGATTTCACTGAATTTGCCTGGGAACATTTTCAGGTTAAAGTGAATACATCTGCTTTGTCTGAATATTTTTAATTTATAATGCTTACATATTTAATAACTATTAAATATAAATATCTAGATGAGTGGAGGAACTTTATTTGGGATGTAGTTTCTTTCATTAGACAAGCTTTTGTTCTTCGTACGACTGCAATTGTAACTACATTTACTAAAGACTTAAGAGATTATAAAGGCAGGTCCATATAAATATTAAATATTAAGCTTTCTGCTGTTTGCTTCATAAAGTACAGTGTTTATCATGACTATACTTCATTCTTTGCTTTTCTGGTTTTAGGGACATGTGTAATGCTGAGCAGTATTGTATACACAAAATACTTCAAGAAGGTACCATTATTTTAAAAGCATTATTTGACTAAAAGTCAGGCAAATTAAAATATTAGTTATTATCTCTCAACAGATTTTACCTGATCAGTGGTGGAGTACCTTTTATTATATGTGGGATTACAGCAGCAACCAATATCAATAATTATGGGATTGAAGGCAATGCACCATAGTAAGTATAATCTATCATCATAAAGCTTTCAAGGAAAATGTTGCCTTTTCCTCTGCTGACAAATGTAACTTTATGAAGGGTACAGACGTGCCATTTGGGATGACATTTGTTATGAAATTTCACTAAATAATAGCTATGAAAGAGCAATGGCTTAATCTGGGGTTTGCTGCTTCACCTGTACCCGTTTGACTCCGCTACTTTCAACAGAATCACTTTCATTTACAAAATTTCTCTTCATTTACATCTGAACAAATGAAAGGATATTAAAAATATCTAATGGATATCATACTTAATGCAGCTACTAATTAATTATACGCTTTGTATTATCTACCTTGAATTGATAACCTTCAGATGACTTTAAGTAATTTATAAATAATTATATGAAAAAAAGGACAAGTAGAAATCCCTTCCTCACCTCCTCTATCCCCTTCCCTCCCTTAAAAAATAATTATTTTGCATTTTCACCATCTGGAAATCTTCCAGTCAGAGTGTCTTGCAATCCTGACATAGCCCTGTGGTGTACTAGTGTGTTAGTACACAGTATAGCTCTACAGATTGTCCAGGCATCACACTGTTATTAATTCCTGACATGAAACATGAGATACTGATAAAGTACAATAAGTTTTTCCATAAAAGCATAGCAGAAAGTATATCAGACTGCAAAGTTAAATACATTCTGCGTAAAGATATTAGTACTCTGCCAGCACTCCTACTCTGAAGCATATCACTCTTAGTTACTGCTTTGAACATCTATTGTAATACATTTAAAACTAGTTATGCTCTGGGTGAGGAAAGTGGAAACAAAGGAGAATGCTTTGTATCTGAGCATTTGGTTCCGTAAAGGTAATTGAAATTTAAATTCTGATAATAAATCAGTACATACCATGGCTAACTGCTCTGCCTAAGGCTCAACTCAATTTATTCAAACTTATCCAATTAGACAATCACTTATAATCAACAGTATATTAAAAGACTCAATTATTTATGTTCATAAATGTTCATAAATGAGACATTTTTCATTTTGGCACAGTTACAGAGGTTGTATTTCTTTAATCATGTTAATCATAGCAAATCAATACCGTGTACCACAGTCTGTATAGAAAACATGGCAGAGGTGAGGGATGGTTATAAGTCTGAGTAAAAAGACAGCTTCTAATTTAACAACAGCATCATGAGTTATATGCCTTATTCATTTTAATAGTATTAGTACAGTAAATATAGATGCACAAACTTTAACTTTTTTAATGGAACTGATTTTTGAGTTATCCACAATAAGATTCCACTTGAAATAAGAGCATCCAAAGAGACTGTTCCACTGGGGAGCATTCCATTCTCCACTTTGCATCAAATATGCGTTATCCAATTTTACTTTGAGTATTCATGTAACTTTATGCTCTTTGTTTATCCAGTTAAATACAGGTGGTAACTTACCTACTTTTTAAAAAATATCTTTCAGAGAATCTTTTCATGTGCATGTCTGACAGCAAAATACATACTCCTTGGAGTGTCTCTAAACTGATTAATAAATATGTATATGTTTTTGTTTAAGGTTCAGATTTTAACAATTTGAAGTAGTAATTCTGCAGTTGCTTGTGATAAATACCCAGTGGGACAGCCTCTGTTTAGCTGAGATGTTCTCAGCCTGGGAGAAAAATTCATTCTGCCTTTTTTACAGTAAATTGTAGATGATTCCTGGCTTGACAATGTGATATCAGAAGGTTCCTCACTGTATTGGATGGACCGTAACAAATTGCACATGCCTAAATGAGTATGAGGTGTCACAGTGTCACTTTTAGAATAGAATGGATCATGACAGTTCACCTGGTCTGTCTTCATGACCCAGTGGGAAATTAGCTATATTCAAACCATTCCTGACAGTTACTTTATCTGAGGTGCTTTAAATGCTCTGATAATGGATAGACCAAACTTTATTCCAACAGCTTATTATCCTAATTGTCCTAACAGCTAGGGAATTATTTGAAAAATCTGATTTAAATCTTTCTTGCTGCAGTTTAAGCCCATTACTTCTTGTCCTAGTCTGACAGATAAATAACTAATTCCTCTTTCCAGAAATCCATGCAATATTTAGAGTATAAGAACCTCATAACAGCTGTACTAGATTCTTACACTGCCAGCTCAGTTCCTGTCTGCAGCCGTGGCTAAAAGCAGATCATAGAGAAGAGTAAAAATAAGGCAAATATTCCTTCTCCCCTTGACCCAAGTTCTCCAAGTTTCCATCTGGGATTCCATTAGCCAGAAGTGTTTTCTTCTCCCATGTTTATTTGATTAGATCATTCATCTTCAGGACAGTCCTGTTAGACTGCTACTAAATTATGCAGCTGACTGAGGCTTGTTCAGCTCATAGTGGCCTGTAAACTACTTTAAGCTGGTCTAAAACAGTTATAGTTACATTATTTAAAGCCTAGCAAATAATGATCCATGCTACAATAAAACTATGCTACCAGTGTCTCTCAAGGAGACCATCAGTTTCCATAATTTTTTTGCAGACATTCAAATTGATGTGAATTAACTCTCAGGAATTTCAGAAACAGTGCAGAATTCAATAATGGCATATATATTTTGGGTCCACTCACTGCAGAAAGCAGTGACTGGAAGCGTTTTGTCAGTATCTCTTATTACTCAGACTGTTCTCTACTTTGGCAACAAGAAAATCCTGTAAGAATAGGCTTAAGAATTTCTATCAATGTTTATTGATACAAACCACTGAAATCTGTACATTTCTATTGCTCATACAGATTTTATGAACTATGCTTCATTTGCTTTTTAATCAAAGTATTAGCACTGACATTTTTAATAGTAGAAAAAAAGGTTGACATAAATGGTCTTACACTTCACTGCAATTCTGGATTCTGAACTGACCTACATTTCTGGGAAATTTTTGCCTTTACTATCCCGTAAATTATACTAGACATTTTATTCTATTAAAAAATATGAAATGATGCCTCAGCTTAATTGATATTAAAGACACATTTGCTGTCTCCACAGTGAACATATACGAACTTCTGAGACACTGTTAAATCATGTAAGTTAGTCAGCCCAATTTGACATCAATCATTTGTCCATCACATCTCATGTGGGCTATAACTTGTTCTTGACTCTCTTTCTTTGTTGTTTTCAGTTGCTGGATGGCATGGGAGCCTAGTCTTGGTGCTTTTTATGGGCCAGTCGCATTCATTGCGCTAGTCACCTGTGTTTACTTTCTCTGCACGTACGTGCAATTGAAGCGCCATCCTGAACGCAAGTATGAGTTAAGGGAAAAGACAGAAGATCCGCAGAGAATGCCAAGTACTGAGGTGGGCCATGGTCATATTACAGACTCTGTTTCCATTCCCCAGTCAACTTGCTCCATGATTTCTTCTTCCTTATTGGAAAATGAGCATTCATTTAAGGCTCAGCTTCGAGCCGCAGCATTCACTTTGTTCCTCTTTACTGCCACTTGGACCTTTGGAGCACTTGCAGTATCTCAAGGTCATTTCTTGGATATGATATTTAGCTGTCTTTACGGAGCCTTCTGTGTGACCTTGGGGCTTTTCATCCTGATCCATCACTGTGCAAAACGAGATGATGTGTGGCATTGCTGGTGGTCCTGTTGCCCATCTAGAAGAAACACCTACTCTGTCCAGGTTAATGTGCGCCCAAAGGTTAATGTCAATGGTGACACTCAAGTTCATGCACCTTGTCTCCAGGAATCGCCATGTCCCAACAAATCAGGTGTATTTAATCATCCAGCACCTAGCCACTGCAAACTTACTAACCTACAAGCAGTTCAAAATCATGTTAACTGCCTTTCGCCTGTGACACCTTGTTGTGCAAAAATGCACTGTGATCAGCTACTTGATGACGAAGCTCACATTCATGTCCACAATGAGGGAAGCTTCAGACCCAATATGCACATTCATAGATGTCTGAAAAGCAGAACTAAGCCACGTTATTTCAGTCGGCATAGGTCTGCAGGTGAAAGAGAATACGCCTATCACATTCCTTCAAGTATTGATGGCAGCATCCACAGCTCACATACAGACAGTCCCCACAGTACGCATGATAGCCAGTCAGGTCACAGAAGGGCCTGCTGCTCAAAAAGTGATCCGTATCCTACTGTCAACCAGCCAGAAAGTAGCGATGCAAGTACTGTGATATATAGTTGTGCTAAAATGCCAGAAAGTGACACTGTGCACCATCCAGCTCATTTTGAAATGCACCCACGGACACAGTCATTGCCATTTAATACAACGAATCACAATGGAATTCTCAAGGGAAATGTGCATGAAGCCATGATATATAGCTCAGATAGTACAGGAAATATCAAAACTGGCCCCTGGAAAAATGAAACTACTGTGTAGTTCATGGGCCATCATAACGTGTTTTTCCCCCTAAAACATCATTATTATTGTTTTTATTCCAAACTATGACATATTTGTGTAGCTCATCAATAAATTGTACAGCTTTTCCATCTTTATTTCCATTTCCTTTGTAAGAGTCTGAGAGAGATAGTGACAGCTTTGAAGTGATACTTTTAAAAGTTGTAAAACCATTGTGAAAGATAATTAGAAAATGAAGTCTAGACAACTGAATATGAGAGGCAATATACTTTTGTTACACAGAAAAACATTTTTTTCACAAAGCCATCCTTTACATTCATTGTTTTCACTTCTGTAGTAACTTAAGACACTTTTTATAAACATATCAGCATCCTAAACTTTTACTTATTTATTTTTGTAGCAAAATATTATTACTGTGCCATGGATTTTAATCAGAAGTGGCTATGATAGAAATGATAAACAGGATTTTATAAAATTACAGCTTTTTAGATCTACAAAAGTGATACTGCCTCTAAAGATCTTCTGTAGCATATGGCCTGTAAAGTCGTGTAATGTACAGTCTCTGTTCTGTCCTTTTTCTTGTGAGAGAGAAGTGCTAGGTAATATCTCTGTTACATCTATGGTGCTGTATTGGTTGTATTTTGCATGACATATGTCAGGATATACCATTTGCTGTTTTCTAGTGTTACATGTGTTTAAAAAAAAAGAACAAAAAAAAAAGTGTTGTACAAGGCTGTGAAAAACCCTATTGATATTAATCTAGAGCATTATAAATCTACAGAAGAAAAAAAATCACTCTGCACTAGTTTTAAGTGGCACAATCCTTTGTATAAGGTTATATGATAGCTTTGATAAGGGTCCACTCTAATGTCTTTACAGAGCATGCACTACTCATTGTATGTGACACTGTGTGGTGTAATAGCAATTGTCTCAACAAGTTTTACACTTCTTTCTTTGTAAAGTATGCCTTTTGAACAAATCCGTAAGCTGTTTCACAATAACCTTTCCACATCGGTTAAGGTAGAGCAGTTTTATCATTAACTCTTTGAGGACTACGGTTATTTTCTTACAAGTAGCTTATTCTCATCCAGAGACACTGTATATATGATACTGTCTATTTAGTTATATGATCAATGTAGTCCAGAATTGCCAGGAAAGAGAAAGTTCAGTCATTTCAGAAAAACACACCTTCTTAGAGTCCATCTATTAATTTCACCACTTGCTTTCTGAAAACCCATTTCCTCTCCTAGCAAATTTCAGATTGTCTTCATCCTTTAATGCAAATTTGACCTTCAGAGAAGTTCTTTATGTTCATGATTTCTGCTGAATTGTAGGGCACTCCAGGGTCAGTGCCATTGTTAATAGATTAACAAGGCTCTTGGAAAGAAATTTTTTCGCTTTTCCATGAACATCTGGACACAAAGCATCAACTCACAGTACAGAACTGCATCATAATTATCTGTGTATGAAATAAGACTGCTTTTTTTCAAGTAGAAAGGGTTCATAATAATAATGGATTGCAGAGACTGAATAGGAGCATAGAGCTAAGAGAAAAATGTCTACAGTGGGAAGTGAGCAGTGCGCCCATAAATAAGAGAAAAAGCACAATTCTGTAAGGCCACATGAGAAAGTTTGCTGTCAGGTCTTAACACGGGCTTCTGTAATTGCTCCATTGCTGCAGAGAGGAAATAGAAAATTCCCTTGAGAGATCATCAGTCAGTGATTCTCTGTGTGTATGTTGCAGAAATCATCCCATATTTCAGCCCACTATTTCTGTTATTCGCAGTTTATTAGACTGTACCTTTTTTTAATATATATATATGTAGGAATTTATTTCCTAATAGTGTACATAAAGATGACAATTATAATTGTTAGAATGTTATAAAAACATGTAAGTCAGATGAATGTGTTCTGCAGTGTTGCAGGTGGGAATTAGTACTCAAAGGGTTAATGCTCAGTATCTGAGTGCAAGAAATCTTGTTTTTCTGTATTTTTGTAAATTTGAAATATATATTGTAAACTCCAGCAGTGCAATGTATCCATCTCAGATTGTGTATTTTTAAAAGGTGAGCAAGAAGAATGCACTAGGTGGTTGTCAAGTTTTGAGCCAATATACAAGAGTTTCATGACTGCTTCTTCAGCTAATACAAAATACAAAAAAAGAAAAGAAACGCCTGAGCTTTATTATGTATATGCTGTATATGCTTGAACTGTCTCTAAACTAAAATACAGTATTTTTTCTTTGTTTGCATAATGAAATATTTTCTGTTTAATAATTGTTCTCTTTTACTACTACTTTCACTCATTCCACATAGACAGTGAGCCCTAAACAAGCATAGACATAATGTGAATTACTACTTCTCCGTGTCTCAGCACTAAGTGTACATATATTCTGTAATAGCAAAAACCTAGGAGGTCTGCAGACCATTATGCAAAATATTCCACACACACAGCCAAGTGAAATACTCACTCTGCAAGAACCCACTCGGTGAGCTTCTTTATTCAGCTTGTGTTTTAATCACCTCTGTTATTTAGTCGGAGAGGGCAGGTTCATCTTCATAATGGCTTACAAAGAAGTAAATAGGTGCTGCTTTCCACAGAATATCTTATGTGATAAAACTCTCTGGAATTTAAACATAAAATATTAAAACACTTTTCTTATTGTGTTAAAAATTATTTAGTGAATATTTCTGGGCTAATTTGGAAGAGATGTGTTATGCAATAATCTGTTTGCATATTATTTTTTCAGAAAATATACAGTATAACTACAGAGTAGGAGAACATGATATTAAATAAATATAAAAATGTTTTGTAACATCGAATTTGACCAAAATGCGTTTTGTGCTTTTGACTTTCTTTTTTTCCCTTAAGATAAATGAGGTGATTTCAATGCTTTGGGAGTCTGGCTTTGTTTTATTGTGGGGGTTTGGTCAATTATAGTCAGTGAACCATTACTACTTTACCTGATTTTCGTTACTATAAAAATAAGTCAGTGAAATAACCAGAGTATAAGAAATATATTGTCCAAGTAAACTCCTTGTGGACTTACACATGTAACATATTTTAAAGTCAGTATTGGTTTTGGTGATTCACTGATGACATAAAAATGACTGAACATATTTTTACTGTTAATTTTTTGTCTGAGATTAAGCAAGAGAAATTTCATCCCAGAAAGATAAGTTTTGGGGAATGATGCAATCAACAGGAATCCAAATGGTTGTTATTATAGTGCTACCAGGATAAAAATATGTTCTGATGCTGTATGGTTCTTCTCTGCATGTAGAAATTCCAGTTTTCATGACAGAATTTCAGACCAAGTAGGTAACCCCGTATTAAGTCACATAGACTGTTTACAAGAAGAATTCCTACCCAGCCTCATATAAGAAGTTTTGGTGTGAAAATAAAACACATGGTTTTGCACGTTATGCCTGATCATGTATGCGTTGTTCCCAAGCAGTCTGTTGGTTGTGTCTGCACAAATATGGCTGAGCAGCTGCTGTCAGTGGCCATAAACACATGTTCTCCTTCACCACACCACTGCCTGCCAACTACCCTGTGGGCAGAATATCCAGATGTTAACCCACCAAGGGAGCCTTCACTGTGGCTCTAAACCAAAAGAAAAGCCTGTGTTTAAAGCAAAGTCAAGGCCACCTTTGACAAACACAGGCAGCTGGGTAGCCTCCACTCCAGTGCTAATGGCTGAAGGCAGCTAAACCTAATGGTAGTGGCTTTAAGCAGGGTAACTCCTCAGGTAGGTATGGTTCTCTATAAAGGAGACTACCTGTACTCTCACCAAATTTTGGTTCCCTATGATTAGTAAATGTCAGGCTGATGGAGACATTAGCAGCAGCTTCCTCACCAGAAAACAAATTCAGGTTCCTGTACCAGGATCCTCCAGTTAAGAAAGAAGCTGTAGGAGGCAGCTGCATCAATCCAGATCCATCAGCTTGGTTTAAAGCCTGGCTGGCTGACTTCAGTCAAGCAATTTCAGTAGTAACTTGGTGCTCTAGGCAGCTTTTACCTAACTCTACAGAGAAGGGAGCTTTAGGTTTGATTTTCTGTGCCTGGCTGACCATTTTCTAGCTGGCAATTAAATTGCTAAGTAGAAAATTTATTCTACAAATTGTCTCAACTACTTAAACCATAGACTTTTTATTCCCTGTTACAACATCTGTAAAGGTGCAAGTGTTCCCTTATCCTACCAGTCTAGTACCTGTTTTTCAGAAGCCAAACAAGGAAGCATCAATAAATCAGGACAGTATTATAGGGCTCACTTCTCTGCAAGGAGGGTTGGAATTTGATTTGCAAGAGCTAGAGCAGTTAAACCACAAATATCCTGTCTTAAGGTTATGCAGCTGGCCATGCCTGAGAGGTAGGGGAGATCATGTAAACATGGTGTCTGTATACTCCGGAGGTACTACTGTCCCTTTACATTTTGATCTGTTTGAATTCTGTTGTGTCTTGCAGTCTGAACAACAAAATGACTCACTGTTCACATCAGCCTGTCACTCTGCTTCAGCTGCTCCCCCTAACCCGCAAGTGCACTGTTGAGTGAGATTGACCAGCATGGTCAGTGTTTCCATTCATTTATTTGTCTCCTAGGTGCTCAGTAACACCTGAAAAAGGCAGCAGAAGGAGCTTATTTGAGGGCTGGGAGGAAATTCTGGGAGAAGAGAAAGCAATAAAACGTATTATTAATATTCTTCTCACAGTGCTTTCTTTTGTTAGCCCATTTGTTACTGAGCTACAGCAGTTACAGTCATTTATTCCCTGATTCTTTCCATTGTAAGACCTTGTTCGCTACTAATTAGAACATAGCTGAAAGTTAACTATTTGGCTTGATTTATGCCCTCAGCAGTTACTGCCCTCAGATACATGATTTTAAAGAGTTTAACCAAAATGGCTGCAATGTTTTCAGCAAAGAGGCTTGAGGAAAATATGTTTGTCCACAATAACAACTTGCAATGATTTTTTTTCTAATAGTTCTGTCTTCAAGGCCTGTTATTTGAAAATTTGGGAAGCATGGCTATTATAAGAAGGGATAAGGGCAATTTTTGCTGTTTCTAGAAAGTAAGCAGTTCAGAAGAGTTCACAATTTTAGTCACTAAAAATATCTGAATATACTACTGTGAAAAAAATCTCCTTCTTAGAGCTTGTCAGTCAAGACATACCTTGTCTTGGCTGGGGATACACTCACTGATCCCTGCTGCAATCTACTGGGGCTTTAAAGGACCTGCCCCATAAATGATTTACTTCAGCTGCTCTCAGCTAGGATTAAGATGCAAAGCAGGGATGTTTGATTCTCATTTTCTCGCTGAACTCTCCAGCTTGTTTCCCCCTCATAGGCACCATGATAGAATGGAGGAGGGACAAGTGCTGGCCTACAAGAAACCAAAAATAAGAGACAGATTCTAGCAGTGGATTGAGTTGGATGGAGCCAGCCGACCAAAAGGAGAGAGGCCAGTATGAGTAGGGAACTGTAGCAAGCTGGCTCAGGGACTGATTTGAAGCTGGGAGGGGAAGTAGAAGCACAAAATTGAATAGAGGAACTTAAAGGCTTGGGAAAAAACTGGGACCAAATTGGTAATGGGGAAGTAGGGCAAAACAATGATGTCCATGGGTATTTCCAGGTTGGGTACACAAGCCAAGCTTTATGATTCCTCTGCAGTCAGTAAGTATCTGAAAACCTACTAGCAAAATGGCTATTTGCTTATAATGTTGATCCTCGTAAAAAAAACAGTGTATTAGTGCTGTCAGCTATTCCATTAACATAAGCGTCAGAAATCTGTGCAATGAATCACAGATGCTCAAAGCTGTTGATTAACCAGATATTTCATGTGCCACATAATGGAATTTCTGTATTTTTAATGTTCTCTTTCAAAATCCAGGAATTAACACAAAAAAGACAACTGATTTCAAACGCTATTAGCGAAGCACAAAGTCAAACACACCAAATTGAGGAACTGTTAGATTTAAGACTTCCTTTGGAACTTCCATTCACAGCTTTGGTCTGTTTTTTGATGTTGTTTTTAACTATTTCAGGAGTGTGTACTGCTTTCTAACAGCTTTGCTTTGACGCACATTTAGTGTTCTTTAAATGCGTGGGTTTGTGTACATCTAGAGTTAAGCCAACCATGTCACTGTAAGCTTTCTTTTCCATCTTTTTTCCATGTTGTTTCTGGAACTTTTTAAAGAAATCCTCCTCAGAGGAATTTTGAGGTTGCAGCCTTCTAAATAACCCAGACTCTGCTTTTCTAGCCTTTCCTGTGCTGAGTGCCACAAAGGAAGATGTGGCTTGAAAGACTTTCCTCTGAGCTTCCCTTTATCTGGGATTGTTTTCCAAAGTATTTAAGTAGTTGTATAATTGTTCCAAGTGTTGTCATCATTATGAGGACATAAGAGCATTAGGAGAAGGAGCAGTCTGAGGCCATAAGTCCCTTCCTTGGCTCTGTGCAGCTGTATTGCACTCTGTAGGAAGCCTGTCCCTTAACTATGATAATTCATGTTGACATACAGGCTGCCTGCAAATCCCATCTTCCCTGCAATGGAGCCTATTCTGAAAAGCTTCCTCTGGGGAAGATACCTGGGGTGGCTGAAAAAGGCATCCCTCCAAACCACAGGGTGTTCCAGCTTTCGCTGATGAGGGATGGATGTACTTTAATCTCTGGCACTGCACAACAGCCTCCTTAAGCCAACAGCTAGCTAACCTTACATACCAGGAGAGCATTTCAATGAAAATGTGAGGTTTAGCCCCTGAGCCCATTGCCCAACCCAGAAGCTGGAAATCCCTAGTTCCCTTGACAAGATGGTATGAGAATAGACATCAGTATACATGGCTGGTTCCTCTCTCTTGTGTAAAACCTATTGAAAATTTCACTGTGCTCACATATGAGAAAAAAATAGGGAGGAGAGAGTTAAATGACTAGCTTATCTGTTCTGGGTTAGTAAGGGGAATAGTTTAAGTGCTGCTAAAAACAAAACAATCCCCTAGCCATCCTGAGTTAGTACAGAAGCCTTGATTCTAGCATTATAACTATATTTTATTCCACTTGACAGCACAGCGCAAGCAACGTGACATAGAGTCAAGGGCTATAGTACATTGAAAGTAACTACACTCCACCCACAATGCTTTTCCCCTGGGTAAAAATAGGCTGTACACAGTTGTACTGTGGAAATATTTTCTGCATCCTTTGATACTCTGGTGGACTGGTTTAGACTAAGGATCCATTTAGTGTGGGTATGTACTTAAAATGTTTTTGATGATATTGAAGTGAAAAGAAGGAAAGTTACTTTTTTTAATTACACAAAAAGCTCATCATCAGCATTACACTGAGATGTTCTTCAGTTTGTAGCTAACTCAGAGCCAGGCAGCTGCACAGCGGAGCACTGCACCAAGAGTGAAAAGGAACCATGGAAAACGGGAGAAAAATAAAAAATCCTCTTACTCTCAGCGATTCAGAACTTTACCTGTAAGGGAACGACTGCAGATCATGCAATCTGCTTCATTAGCCTATTCATCTTCTCAGTGTGTTATTAAGGTTCAACTTGCTTAACAAAACCAGGGAGATCAGAATATGCCAGTCAAATTCAGTATGACTTGAAGAGTCTCTGGTATAAGTGGCTTATGTAGTTCATTGTAGATTGATGCGGGGGAAACTGCTGATAGAGACAAAACATACAGGATATGATTTCAAAGGCCCTGGAGCTGTAGGATGAAAAATCTTTAGCAGAATTCCTTTTACTTAGATAAAGTAAGAATAAAATATCTTATGTAGGAAATAAGGAGGTTTGAATTTAAATCAGAGAAACGATGAAAGAGACTGACAAAGAGGCATTTTCAACAGCTCAGCACAGCTTTCCTTCCTTGTGTAACCATGCAAGGGAGTGTTTAATTTATACAGTCTTTAGTCAAACTTTTTTCACTTTAGAGCAATAAGCTGTAGGGTTGAAATTACAGACAGGAACCTTTGCATTGGTTTCCATGTGTCCTAGGTTGAATGTACAATGAACAGAAAAGGCACAGCATATAGTTGAGAACCTAATCTGAAAACTGACATGCTGCAAAACACATTAAATGGAAGTTTTTTGTAATAGCATGGGGTCATATGGAGGAACAGTGGGTGGAAATGAAGGAGAAATGGTGCATAACTGGGAGGAGGGTATTGCAGTGGATAATCAAAGGAGCAGAAGTGCCTGTTGAAATGGTGCAAGCACAAGAGTGACCACAAGCCCTGTATGTCAATACAAAGGAGTGTATTGAGCTGGACTGCACAGGTGAGCCTGGTCCTGCCATGGTGCTCATTTGGAGAGGGGGCCAAAACATTGGGTAATATTTGGACGGTAGCCTTGCAGACAAGTTGAAAGCATTACAAGCTAAAGGTATGGAATGTGTTCAGGTTGTGGAAAAAGAGAAGGGAAAAAAATT